TTATAAAAATAATGAGATATTTTAAAAAACTGATTTGTTACACGAGTCGGATTTTCTATTTTATATATTAATATGTAATTACACCTCCTGTGACATATCGTTCGACTGTTAAATTAAATTAGTTATAAGTTTAGATAGTAAATGAGTAATTGCGCTTTGTAAATCGAACGACTTTCTCCATGAATAAATGATGAATTCCATCTAGCACTGATATCTTGAATCACTGTATGAATATTTCGAAAACTCGAACCTTTTTGCATCTTTTCACAATTTTCTTTTTGTTAAGAAGTTAATTGATCTTTTGCATCTTAAAACAAATGCCTGAATGTTTATATTAATTTTTAATGCCTTATTTACAACTAATTGAATTAAATTACTTAAATATTAAGGCCGACTTATCGAGTTTACATATGTAATATGTGAGCAAAAAAATACAAAATTTATCATTGGTAATTGATTCTTCTGATGAAAAATTAGAAATTGTTTCTTCTTTATCATTAATTAAAATAATGCCATAATTTACTGATACTGAAGACTAATTTTATCAACAAATGTATTACGAATAAATATTACAGATATTCGAAAGGGTTACAGATATTAATATTAATATTCGAAATATTCGAAATATCCGAAAGCGTTATTATTATGAATATTCGAATATTAATATATATATATAAATTATTTGACATGAATATTCGAACATCATGTCGATTCCTGATTTATATTATATTAATTAATTAGTATATACACTGACCATATCAACAATTGCTTATTAATTATTGTATTGATTATTAATTATAATCATAATAATAATTATTATGTATCAAGGATTTTTATACTGTATATATATACATTGTTTTTAAAGAATTCTTTTCACACATACATGTACTAGTTTCGGTTTAAATATAAATTAATTTGTTGGACAAAAACATACATAATAATTGCACAAAAAAATATGCACCCTGTTTGCTTAAAAACAAACACCGATCATTTTGAAATGACATTAATAACATAAATATTTATTCTAAAATTTAATATTAACATACTATGAATTTTTAAATGCGATAGTCTAATTTCAACAAAACAAAATTTTACGTGATTTTGAATAGTTTTTTTAATAAAATTTTAAACCTCGTATTAGTATTAGCATTAATTTAAGATACCGGTCCATTTAATATTTTATTAATGGTAATGGACTAGACCAAAACTCATTGGTCTCTTCCAATTGAAATTTACCCGAAAGCAATAGAGTTTTCCGGTCACGAAAAAAAAAAGGAAATAGTGTAATGTAAAAAAAAATTTTTTTAATAATTATAAATTCTATAAAAATGAGTTTATTTGAATTATGTACTGTATTTGGTAGAAATTATTATTTTGATATTCGCAGTTACAAATGAACAATTGATTAAACTAACAATAAGATTTTCGAAAATCAATTGAATAAAAAATAAAAATTATTAGTTTCATACAACAAATCAATTCGTTCAAGAAGGGATTTTGAATTCCAAACCGGAAAAATCCCAAAAAGTAAGTTCTTTTTGTGCCCAAATCTTTCTTTAATTGGTGGCCACGAAATTAATATTAAAGTTTTTTTTTTACTATTATTAAAACAAATTACGATGTTGTGTTTCATATTCAAAAGTTGTGTCATCTATAAACTAAAAATAGCCTGGCGAAGTTGATTTGTGCGACAATATAATTTGTATTTAAAGACGATCTTTCAATATATTCGTCGGTCAATATTGTTTTAACTATGCATTCATTAACGTCGTTTTTATCATTATACAAGGCCTTCTTATTATTTGGTACTTTCACAACATTCACTTTATCATGTTCTCCAGTCAATGAAAATTATATTTCAATAAATCTACAAGCCAAACAAAATTGGCGAGTTAATGTAGACTATGGTTTTCTGTAAGAAAGATTTATTTGCTATATTAATATAATAATATTTTGAAGTTTATTCAATGAGATATTTTAAATTGTATAGTTATCCGGGCACAAAGATCACTACTTATAACACTGGTAGCAATACACCAGGTTTTAATGAAATTTACTTGTTGAACAAGTCAAGCCCCGGCATTTATGAGATTCGACCATTTTGGGATTTTGATCTAGCTACTGGTAAATTGTGATAATTACTTCTAAATAGTTTATTTGCCTCTCAGTCAATAATCTTTTTCGATAATTAATTTGTAATTTGTCATTATATTCATTGTAATGTAGCTGTTGAAATGCCAGTTGGAAGTGTAAGCGTCGGTGACGCTTTCAAAGTTAATACTATGTTAGTCTTTAAACATATAATCCTTCTTCCACATTCTTATCAATAGATTCTAATTTGTATCAAATTTTTTATTTTTGACCCTAAAGCAATGGCAAGGATAACCAAAAATTTTCCATCGAATGTGCTGTCTGTGATATTTCAACAAGTTCTACGGACTGGATACCATACCACACTACATGCTCGATAAAGGTGAAAATTTCAAAAATTCAATGCTAATAATAAATAACAGTTATTAATAAGTCGTTCTAACGCACATCCTCAAAAAAAAGAACATAGCATCTGGTCTTTGTATGAATGGTGTTCCTGGTACTCCCGCCTTCAATGTGACTCAATTTGATTGTAAAAGTGCACCAGCATGGGATATTTATGGGTATGTTGAGTTTGAGGTCATTTTTCTCCTATGCAAATCTAAATTTTCATTGTACCATTTTAAATTTTCAATAGGAGAGCAAAACCCAACACCACCACACTCACTATTACATCCACCGCCACACCCACCCTCGTACCCGTCATCGCACCCGACACCGCATCAACTTCTGATATTCGACTTCCAATGTTTGGAATTATAGGCATAGTTCTGGGATCGATTATTGGCACGGCTGTTATTGCTTTTGTGACGAGTTATTTGATTATCCGACGTCAACGATTGGCTTATACTAAGAAACCTGATCGTGTCAACGTTCAAGTTTTTTCCGGTTAAAAATCAGGCTTGACATCTAAATCGTGCATTATTTCTATTAGCATAAGTCTATTTGATGATTAAGCTGATTTAATTTTCATAAATGTAAATAACTGCAACACTCTACTATTTCACATGAACATATTTTACCAAATAATTTTCTTTCATTTATAACAACTTGCATATTCATTCATATTTAATTTTTATTCTGTATTTTACTATTAATTTAATTTTTAAATTTTTTGATGTTTATATGTATATTTAAAGTGAGGTGTAATGGAAAATCAAATAATTGTAAAGATTTTTATTGTAAATAAATAAATCCACCAAATAATTAACTTTTAATAATTTTATATGTTTCATTATTTGCTTTTTTACAATAACCTTTCTACACTTTCTTGCCAAATGCTTCTGGGCAAAACAAAGAGCAAGATTACTTGAAAGTTAGCATGACTCACAAAACATTGGATTTTTCAAGGAAATAACTTAAGCGGTTTTATCAAGAAGGGAACATTCTCCAAATTCCTTATTATGTAGAATTGTGTAGCTTGTGAGCGGCAAACATTATTGCGTATCTATAAATCTTTGCAAGAAAGATATCGTGAGCTGTATCCAAATTTGGTGTGTGGATTTGTTTCAAAACAATTTTTTGTTCTTTAAATCTTTATCCATCTTTCCCTGCATCATTTATTTACATTACTTAATAATAATTTTAATAGTAATTAAATATTTAGAATCCAAAATTGTTAATTTTATGCCAAAGACCCTCCTTATATACTATATATATATATTTATTTAATATTGAATAAAAATTATCTAAATTCTGATTCATTAATAAATTGCTAATTATTTTCTTGTAAGAATTATCCATGCTAACTTTGATGCCAATAACTGGACCGAAGAAGCTTAATCAACTTCTATTAATTGTTGATTAATTATTCATGTGTTACTTATTATTACTATTACTGCTATTTATTGCTATTTCGATAAGCATTTAAAATATAAAACGGGAACTTGATAGTAAGATACTCCTCGGTGATGAAGAAATTTGTACTTGTTGTAGATTTATACACACTAAGATCATCATCCTCAATTACTCATATTATTATGGATACATCAATTTTATCAACTGCGTTATTAGTCATTATCAATGTGTTGGAAATATTTTCTTTTTGATAAAGTTTTCAACGACAAGTATCCATAACTGTTTAAATTATTAATTAATTAAATACATCACGTTCACAACTTCTAGTCGATTGTTTTAAAAATGCTTTAGCTGCCAATCCAAATTCATGTTTTGTAAGAAATGGACAGCAATTTTATTGACCAATTCATACGTTGATCAATCAATTAACTCGAACATGGTCGGATTATTGTCCTCCATAAAAGTGAGGATTAGAAATTTTCTAGAACAATAGTTACTTGAACTATAAAGAATTATGAAATTTCAAAGATTTCCTCGAAGTGGTTGACCAAAAATATTAAATGATTGAAATAAAATTCAAAAGATGTTTACTTAAAAACTAATTGAAAGCATGCATCGTGGGTAGAATCGCGGCATGGATGGCAAAAGTCTACCAGGTATTAAATTGATAAGAGGCTGCTGTTAAAATTTTTTAATAATTCAATTTTTTTCTTTTCAAAGTTTATTTCAAGCTAGAAATCCAAGATTTATATTTAGGTACATGAACACCTAGGCTTCAAATCATGTAGATTTTTTGTGCAGTTATTTATGTATGTTTTTGTGCAATTAATTGATTTAGGACGACCGAACTTTTGGGAAAGTAATGTTCAAATTTTTTTTTATTTTTAAAAATATTTTAAGATGTGAATTATTCAACATCAATATCACCACCAACTTCATCATGATTACTACTAATAACCATACTCTCATAATCGTCACTCAATACAAGAACTTCATTAAAACTGTTATCAAGATTAATATCGTTATTATAATTATTGATTTCAACATTAGCAACTTCATTTTCATTTTCATTTTCATTTTCATTTTCATTTTCATTTTCATTCTCATTCTCGCCATTTTCAGAATTATCTTCAGAACCAATATTATCATCATTATCACCGTCATCATTATTATTATTTGTTTCCATATTTGTATCTCTTCCATCTTGTTCATCTGTATTGCTGACACCAGACGCATCTTGTTGTTGCTGTTGATTTAAAAAAACTATGGCTTTTAAACATGATCTCAATTCCTTGACTCCCTTACCACTAAAAACGTTAAAAACTTGTTGTTGATGAAGTGTGAATTCTTTTGGTGGTCGTCTACAGAATTTTTGCACATCTGGTCTTAGGAAAGCAGGTACGCCAGTTAAAGAAAGATGTGTTAGACGATGACAAGAATTAAGTAATTCTGAAACTGCTGGAATCGTAAGCCGTGCACAATATGACAAATGCACACGTTCTAAAGTGTGTGTGACTGCTCTGTTCTCAATTAATGCATGAATGGCTCGATCAGTAATCAATGTACATTTCACCAACCCAATACGACGAAGTTTTTGAAGGTGTGACAATTCAAAAACTGATCTGTCCGATAAGAGTGTACAACAAGCAAGATCAAGATATCTCAACCTGGTACAATGACGTGCCAATTGAACTATTGACTCGTTTGTGATATTTGAACAATGGCCTAAATGAAGATAGTGCAAATGTTTGCCTAATCTTACGATATAATTAACTCCCTCATCTGTAATGTTGGTGCATTTGGCCAAAACTAAATTTCGCAATTTCGGTGAGCAATAAACTATTTTTTTTATTGCTTGATCAGTGATCATTGCACATGATGTAAGATCAAGGACACGTAATTGTTCAAACGGTATTGGCATTGCTTTGATGAAAGGTTCCTCAGTCAAATATCTACAACAAGCAAGGCGAAGTTCTCTTAGTTGGCTACAATTTTCAAAAACTGATTGAATTGCATCACCTGTGATTTGGTGACAACTGGTAAGATCTAATTCTAATAAGTGAGGACAATTTTCAGCTAAATCAATAACAGATTTGTTGGTAATATCCTCACAACTGCATAATTTTATCTGATGTGAGCATATGAGCGAGAGAGGGTGTGTGTGAGTGTAATATTTTTTTTTTTAGTAAAATTAATACCATCAATATTAATATTATAATTAATTAAAAAAAATTTTTTTTTTTTGGAAGAAGCCCTTCCAAAATATATATATCTAAGCATTAAATGTCACTTACCCTTCTCAAGCCTTTACATTTTGATGCAATAGCTGTAATTCCTTTATCTGTAATCTTTTTGCACATGCTTACATTCAAACCTTGTAATCTTCTACATCGTTCGCCCACCAATTCAATTATAACATCAGTCAAATTTTCAATATCAGACACATCCAATGCTATCAAGCCTTCAGATTTATCTAATAATTTTAATAAACCTTCATCTGTCAACTTTCTACACCCTCCAAGTGTCAACCTTTCTAATCTTTCGCAAGAACTTAGCCTAATAAGAATCTGATCACTAAGATTTTCTCCCAAATAAGAAAAATTAAGACGACGAATAAGAAGCGGGTAAGGAAAAGTTTGTTTTGTTCGCGATATTATTACTAGTAGCCTAATGAGAGAAACATTTCCAGTAAAAATGGGTTTATGCCACAAAAGTTCAACTCCACAGCAACACCATGTTTTACAAACTAAAATGCATGACTTTAAATCTGTTGTAGATGTAACAAATTTGAATATATGAAATATTAGCTCTGATGGTATGATTGTTGCTTTGCTTTGTTGTTTTTTATGAAGTTGAATTTGTTGTGTGTCTTGTGTTAGGTTTATTTCTGTTGTATTTGCCTCAGATGTCATAATTAAGTCGATTACTTAAGAAAAGGAATGCTCATGAATAATAATAAGAGAAAAACAAAAGTTATTTATTTTTACATAATAAATAAAGCAATCAAACCTTTTATATCCCTTAAAGTCTGACAAACATCTTTTTTGAAATCGACAAATGAAATTATTGCAATTATTATTATGGAATTTATTATTTTCGTCAAGCTAGGAATTAAAACGATGGACGTAATAATTCTTTTCCATTAGTTGGATAAAATCCCAATGAAGTGCTGCAATATTTTGCATCAAAAAAAAAAAAATACTCTGAAGAATCAGAAGGATATGCGATGCATGATATGAATGAAATCAAAATTTCCATCTTAAAACTTGGAAAAAAATCTACCCATTTTTATGATCATAATCATTTTCTTCTGGAGGAGAAGAATCCAATTCTTGAATTATGTATATATATAATATAATGATATTTATACTTAATGTTTTGTTGAAAATTAGTTAGTCTATCGATTTTCTGAGAATTTTGTTTTCAATCTATAACAGAAACATTGTTATTATTATCTCTTGAAAATAGGTTTGGATTCATTGGATCTTTCATTAAAAAAAAAAGGAACCTATATGCAATTCGAGTAAAAATTCACAATCTGTCTCAGATCTTGAATTTTGCATCATCCACTTAAAGACATGGGGTTGACTTGGCTTTATTTTTTCAGAAGAATGGTTGTAATATTTTATTCTTCAGCATGGATAGGTTTAGGTTTTCCGAGAGACCCTCTATCGGTTTATCATATACAACTTGTTTATGGACTTGGTTTTATGGTAACTTTTAAAAAAATCCATCAAAGATAATGTATATATTAATAATTGGCGCTTTAATACCCTATGTGCCTTTCTGGTAATTGATCAGAAAAGAAAATTGCCTTATCCTTTAAAGTAATAGAATAAACGATAATAATTAGGAGAGAAGAAAATGATTTACTATTTTCCTTTATTTTAACCGGTTACTTATTCACAAAGTTTGACAAGTTACAAATATAAATATTTTTTTTAAAAGGGTTCTCAACGCCAAAGAGTTTCAGGTCTTCTTCTGAAAAGTTAGAAATTTTATTATATGCCGAATAAACCAATCACTATCAAGCATCAAAAAATATGAATCATTAATTTCTCAAGAAATCGCGTGAAGCTAAAAGTTCAAATAACGAATTGGTTTATTTATCTCGAAAGTTTTCTTGAAAATAATTTAATTAGTTCATTCAAGATTTCCCTCAAATGTTATCGACTCTATCAAATCATTTTATTATTTCACATCAGGAAAACTAGTAGCATATATTCTACACAATTGTAGAGGTTTGACGTAGAATGAGTATATAGTTAATGTATTAAAAATCATACATATATTATGCGTCAACCCCATAAAATTGTGTATACAGATATTTCCCTGTTTTCCAAATGCATTCTTATCTGGTAGAATCTTTTATTACATAAATTATGTTAATATATTAGTCAATTTCTTATTTTTAAATAAATAAATAAACACCTTATAATACGCGCTATAAAACAACTTTTAATAATACTTCTTGGCTACTATGATTATTGTATTAAAAGAGTCAAAGCCAGGAGTAATTATTAATATTCAACATTACAATAATATTTTGAAAAGAGAAAATGGCGTAGCAAAAAAAAAATGAACGAACAATATATTAATTTTAAATCACATAGACGCGCAATTCCCAACTTACTGAGAAATTACTTGTCGTCAATTTGTATTCCTATATTTTGAATATTCAGTTGACACGTAATATGATTTCTTGATTAGATTATATATAAAGAAAATAAAATTTTTGATGTTTTAGCTGGTCCAGCCAACCAAAAAACGAACATCTTCTAGTGCTTTCTATTAAATAATTTAATTTAGGTAAAACATAAAAATCATGAAATTCAGAAAACTATATCAATATTAATGGATAGGTTACATCCCGAAAATCATAATTTCCCCATGGCCAATAATCCAACAATCAATAATCTATGAAATCTCAAATTGGTGCATATCTTACAACCCCTATTCCAATCCAACCTCAACTGTCATCTCTAATCAACTCCATATATCCAATATTTACTTCTCACAAAAATCTTCATATAATCTAATAAATTCTATTATAAAATATGTGATTTCCACGATGTACATTGTTTAAAACAAAACAATCTCAACCTAAAAAAACAAAACAGCTAATCAATTATACCAATCAATCAAATAGCACAAGACCCCTTTCAAATTCTAGTTCTAGTAATTCTCGCTTAGTTTTAATAGATAACTTCATTAATACTGAACCTGACTTCCTATTCCTAGATAATATTTGGATCGGTCAACAATATCTATGTATATGATGCAGTTAAAATTGTTAAATTGAGACTAAATAAACTTCGTAGACTTTGTTTGCCATATCTGTTTTTTCTAAATTTTAAATTTAAATATATACTATTTTTAATTATTTTCAAGAGAATCAAGAGGATATTGCCTAAAAATAAAATAAAAAAAAATCGCAGTTTGATATATATAGGTCTTTTACAGTGTTGTCAGCGGACGCGGACACGGACTGTCCGGTCCGGGACTTTAAATGACCCGGACCATTCTTGGACAAAAATATAAGTTTTTGCCTACTACCTCTTTCTCGAAGCTTTGGTGAATCTGTAAACACTTTATGGTACAATTAACAAAGCAATAAAGCTCCTGTAGAGTTCCTTTTATTTGCGTTACTTTTACTTTCTTTAGCCAATTGAAGTCGGCTGTATGTTTGCAACAATTTCTTTACAATAAAATAAATCAATATGTGATAATGACTTGTATAGGTGGTCAATTAACAAAAAATTAAACAAAAACATTTACACTTAAGAAAAACCAAAAAATTAAACCTTTGCTTTCTTACTAAAACAAATATCTAAAAAAACATCTTTGCTTTAACCAAATGGAGGTTAAACCCTACTGTTTAATTTCCGCCCATAAAAGTGTTTTATTAAACAAAAAAGAATTAAATTATGAAAATGTTTATTACAAATGAATTATTTGTAAAAAAATAATTTTATATTAACTTTCTGCCTCTACTCCCAAGCAAGGCTCTGGATTATTAATATAAAATTATTTAATTAACTGGTTGATTGATTGATTTCTTTCACTTGTCAAATAATTTTTACTTTTAATAAAATGGAGAATATAAATAAAAATACAAATATAAAATATTATGAGAAGTTGTAGAAATTGAGCAAGGTGAAGGTTGATGTGGAATAAATCAATTTTAAGTGTGCAAGATAGATATTTAAACAAGCATTACTATTATTGATCTGCAGCTCAAAAATTATTGCTTGCTCATCAGCACTAGTTTTTTCAAAAAAAAATTTCTTCCTTTCCTCCCCTCCTAATTTTTCAACGCATGCTTTACAAAACGTTTTTTGAATTGCTTTGGTTTAGTTTTATATTGGCTTTAATAATATGTTGAGGGTAAAGGCATTTTCTCACGTTTAACTTGTGGTTTGTACTACTGGTCCCGGCTAAGAATTTTATTGGTTTAGCCGGCTAAAAAAAATTTTCTTGACATTAATTTTTACGTCTGGAATTTTAGTGCAGAATTCAATGGCATAAACATTTAGTTGAGATGGATCCGCCTACATTACTTAGGATGGCAAAAAAGACATACATTTACTCAAAAGGCAAAATACAATACATCATAGCAGGATAAATGTCAGAGTTTCTATTCGTAATCAGTGTTGGAAATTCAGGGTGCGGAGGGTGCGGTGCTAACCAAATTTGGCAACTATTTGCAAAAATCCGCTGATA